AATTCATAATTAATGTTAGAAGAGTCATTTGCCACCATCAAACTACACCTGAGTCATTCTAGAAATTGAGAATTTTCTAATTTTCTATTTGAAACTTGAACTCAGCTCCTAAACACAGCCTCAAACCAATCAACTGCTTTCAGTTGATTGTTTTATTTAGTTTAAGGCTTTACTGTGGAGTTGGTGCTAAAGGCTTGATCAACCTCATGAAGCTCCCTACTCACTTATTATCAGTCAGTTTGAAGGTTGACTGAAGTTTACCTGGTGAATCTCCAGAAGATTTCAAACTCTACGCATATTTGAAAAATCACCCACCCTCTACTATCGCATTCAATAGATGGCATTAGGGTTTTTTTTGTTGTTAAATTGTTAAAGCCGTGCATTGTGGCCAAAAACTTGCATTTAATTTTCTAGAGGATATTGTTTTAGAAGGCTTGTGATTAATTTAGTTGGGGTTTCATCCTGGCAAATAGCTACTGAATTATCCTGTTGTTGAGCCTGTTAAAGACTGGGATGGAGGTTAACTTCTGCCATCAAATTACAATAAACATACAGGCAGATTTAGAACATGATGGTTCTAATGGCTTAATAAAGGTTTAGATTAGGGTTAAGGCTTGAAAAAAAGCTTTGAAAGTTTTCCATCAAAGTTGACAACTTGAATAGTTTGGAAAAGGATGGATGAAAAAAATTATTTGTTTATTGGTGTGCTTCACTGATAGTTGGAAATCTAAAGATTACAAGACTTTCAAGCTCCAAATCAGCAATAGGTCTTATGTTTTTATTTATTTTTCCAACCCTTAATCTGAATTTTATTTTTGACTTAAAATGCAATTCCATACATTTACAAATGTAATAAAAGTCCACCAGAGTCAGTTTTCAAATACATAATAGTGAAAATATTTAATAAGCTTCCTGCCAATCCTGTCTTCTTGATTATGTGCTGCATAAAAGTTACAGCTGTATTATTCTGCAGCATTTGACCAAGAGGTTATGAAGTTATTTGAAATACAAGAAAAACTGTTCAAATCACATATTTGGTAGACTGTTGCTAGTTGCTTAATTTTCTCATTGTACGGGACTTATAACCAGGAGTGGGTAATATATGTTCAGTATTAAAGAGCCTGTATATTAGGACCGATAATTTGTATTTGTAACTCCATGGCATTGATAACCTTGAAAGCCTTAAAACAGTGATGTCACAATCCAGTCTTTAAGATGCAGTTGCGCTTCAACACACCTGGGCCCAATTAGCCCATTAGAAGAGCTCAGCACAGTGTGACTGCATGCTAGTGAGGTCATTTATCAATTGGATGAATTAGCAGCACCCAGTTAATTGTGTAGGAATAAGGTCGCCTAAGCAGGGTTTTTATTTTCTGAGGCTGGGTTTACTCATCTCATCATGTTGACTCCAAACACTGGGACAGTTTTATGAAACAGATTAAACATTCTTATTAGCTACAGATTAATCCATCTGGTGGGCATACATATAAAAAAAGCTGCACCAAGAAACCTTTTTTTAATATTTAAACTAAAAGGAAAGTTGTCCAATAACATAGCCTTGGGGTACACCAGTATTAACACAGATCATATATTATCAGTTATCACCGATGTGTCTTTTTAAATAATGAATTTTCCCTCAAATACATAAAAAAAGATATTACCATAAAATGTATATTTATTGGATCACTATTAATAATTATTTTTCACTGCTTGCTTAACTAAAAGGTTGAACCTTTTGAAATAAATCCATAAATATTCAGGATGCACTTCAAGAGTAACCCGTTACGTATCGGTTACAGTCTTAAGAAAAAAATATTTAACTAAAGATATTTTCTAACACATATAAATGCTAAAAAGTCTTATTTTCATTTTAGAGATGTCAGAGCGTGAACCTTGAGCCATGTCAATACAGTTTTCTCATACAAAGATTTCAGGCTTTTTAAAGTTATTGTGGAGGAATTTCGCAAATTTTTTAAAAGACCCACCCTCTTTAAAAAAAAAAAAAAAAATGCAGGTGCGGGAGCATGCATGAGCCCATTTCTCCCCGTGCACGCCCTGTTTAAAAGTTGCTGTTTTCATAGCTTGTATAATCTTACTGTTCCCGAACATCTGCTCTAACCCATAAATCCCTCAATCACTATGTAGAGCGGGAGAATATATAGCGAACTCAGTTAACTTACCGTTAGGACAGATGATCACTGCTTTTTGCTCCTTTGGTCACCTAACTCCTCCTTCACTGGGCGGCGCCTGCGCCATCTTGGGCCACTCCCATAATGCTTTGCATGGAGAGCTCTCTGCACAAAGCATTCTGGGATATATCTGCATCTTCTTGTTCTCATACTCTTCGTAGATACTTTTTTTCCTCTCACGACCCTCTGCAATTTTTAAAGAACTGCTGAGAGAAAGGTGAACTTCAACGACTGCAACCGTAGCTCATCCCAGATATACGCCTGAAAGTGCACATGCACAGAAAAAGATAGCTATAACGGAAAAGCATGTAGGACGGCCTTACGTAAAAATATCACAGGAGTGATCGACAACTAGGAGGACCAGTTCTTTAAATGATTCACCCGGAAATAAAAGATCCTTACCTTTAAAGTTGGAGGGATATTTGGGATGTGTTTACAGTAATTAAGACAACATTATTAGGAAACTTTATTCTCAAGAGAAGAAAAAAAAACAAATTACATTTTTCAAATTATTTTTTATTGATCTTTAAAAAAAAAAAGCTACAAAAGGATAAAATAAAAACATGATGTGCGGCTGGTAATCAACCCCAAATCACACACTCATACTGTTTGTGTTTGTATCGTATTCGTACCTTGTGCAAGTCATAGCCTTTACATCTGTGCATTATGTAACTGCTGTCATGTGTAGAGTTTAAGGCACTGAACTACTTTCCTGTATTTCCACTTTGTTTTTTTAAAAAAAAGCTGCAAAAAAGTGGCACGCAATTTACAAAACAGTATAACACACACCAAGACTGATTCCACGAAACCATCAATGTAATATTCTAAGCACAAGCTTCTATCTGCACATTAAAAGGAATACATAAGAAAAATGTTTGTCCCCTTTCTGCATTTTTACAGCAAATCTCTGACTAGCAATGACTACAATAGTAAGATATGACATTTTGTTTTTACAGTTTAATAAAAAAAAGAGTTTTTTCCCTCCAGTCTTTAAAAAAATCAAATAAGGGTATCAAAAATGTGCATAAAAAATAACAACAGTCAGTGGAGTAACTGAACAGTTTTGAACCATAAATTAACAGTAGTCCTATGCCATTACCCTTCTTTATTACGGTACTTGCAAGAATCAAGTAATTTGTTTACAATACAATAAGCTGGATGCAATTAAACATGAACAATTTCAAGTCTTTACTATTTGAGCTTATGCTAATTTTTAAGAATAAAAAAAGAAGGGAACAGGTGGCAGGATGAGGAGACCATGTGTAACAGAAAATTCAAAATAAAGCTGTCGCTTTATGTTTTCCCATGGGCCAGCAGGGGGAAGTCTTCCTTCAAATATCTGCAACCATGACAAGGCATTTGCATAGCTCATCTTGACTTCATACATCAGATACTTAGATCAAGCTGGAATTTCAGGTCAGTACAGGACAGGATAGGACAGGACATGCATTCCTAGGAGACTGGTAACTAACAGAATAATGATGGAGCGTGTCGTATATTGGGCATGGGTTGCATGACCATGACTTTTGTGAAGTATTAGTAAAGACTTTGGAATGTAAAATTGAGTCATGGAATAGGGACATATAACAACATTACAGACTTTATGGAGTTGCCTAGAGACAAGGGATTATTTTTCCTTTGAAAAACTAAGTTCAATTTGGAAACATGTCCATTAAAACAATTGCATTTACTGCTCAGGCTGGCTAATAGAGATTTTAGAAGTAAAACATTTTCCTAAATATCCACATTTTTTTTATTAATAGCTAGTTAACAAAATTTGTTGGCAAATACTCTTTAGAGGGGTTTTGTCTAGAGTGCCACCTTCACTAAATAGAGTAATTGAATTTTCCCACCACACTACAGCTTATTTACCACACCTCAGCCAGCTTTGGTAAATAAAGTATTTAGCATAGCTCTAATTAACACTGTAACATACATAATTTCATCACTACGGACATGCTGTTATAGCATTTGCGTAACAGCTAATCAAGTATCAATCATAAATAATAATCAACATAAAATCTGCTTTAAAATGCTTTAAATGAGGGGAAAATTAAGAAAATATCTCCTTATGGATTAATAAGGCTAATCTGACCATTTGGGCTGTGAATAATCTGCCTCTGATCCCCATAAACTCCTACTTTTAAACCTGCAGTACCTCATACAAACTTTAAGACTTGATCGACAAAAAACATATAATTTCCTCATGCTTTAACCTACAAATGCCTGAAACAGAAATAGCATGTTTGGAAGTGTGATGAGCGTGACAATAGCTGAACAAAAAGATGAAAAGTATAATACTATGAAATAAACATGAGATGTTATGTTTAGAGTCTTTTTATCGTAAAACAAAAAAAAAAAAGAAGAAAAAAAAAACGGTGTTAAGGAGTATATTAATAAAGGCAAAATGTTCCTTGGATCCTGTTTAAAGCACCATTATGCTCAGTTCTGCTGAAATTCGAGAAATTGGATTAAAAGTTAGCCTTTCTCCAGATGACTGAGGCGAGTTGGGATCTTTTAAATGTTTTTCTGGAATTCTTAAATAATTACTGATATTCAGGTTTGCAGAACTCACATGTAAATTAAAAAAATACAAATCTTTCCACATGAATTGAAAGCTGTATCGTTTTCTATCCTCTTTATAACATCAAACTTCTTTCTAACACTTCTACACATTGTGGTTATAATGCCACAGAAGCAAAAGAGTTTGAGGCAAATTTATACCTTATTGCATAAGCACACACAGCAGTTTGCAAGAATTTAATTGACATCTCCAGCTGGCTCGCCACGAATACCAAATAACTTTTGACAGTCCCTTGAGAGGATTTATTCATCATCGTTTTTTTGCTCTATCCGGTAGAATCTGGTCGCTAGAAGGTCCTCCACCAGATACAGAAGAACACAGCTAAATATTAGGTGTCCTAAAAGCTCAAAGCATCTGCTATTTTCACTCTCAATGATAGTTTACCTAAAAAATGTTAGATATCAGCACTTTGGTTGCTTAATAAACAGTACCGGTTTCAATCGCCTGCACCCTGGGTCCCTGAGCAAGACCCTTAACCTCCCACACTGCTCCCTGAGCGCCACACAATGGCAGCCCACTGCTCCCCAAGGGGATGGGGTAAATTCAAAGGTAAATTTCTTCAGTGTGAGATCCGTGAACTTTCAATTACATTATTATTATTGTAAAGTTTCAGGACATAAATTGTTGTACAGTTAAGGGAAAACCTGCTAAAATGGTTATGACACACCTCAGCTGCACAGTGGTGCTGTAGCTCCAGGTTAACTTGCAGTGTGCATGTGTTGTGTCCTGATGATAATGCTAACATTTGCACTCTCCTCTGCTCCAGCGCACTAATTGATCCACCGCACCAACATGTACAGAGGAGGCCACACTGAAGAGCAAACCACCTGCCTCCCTTCAGTATCTATATAACACACGTCTCTCTCTATATGCAGCTCTAACAGGGCTCGCCTAAATCTGCACTTTATCCAGTCGAGTGTGCTTTAACCAGCCTAATATGAGTTTGAAATCTCAACTAAGAGGTTTCACGTAATTAAGAGAAAAAGGACTTTCTATTTAGCGTACTTTAACAGATGTAAACCCGAATATTAAAGACACATTAGGTGTTTAGGGTCCTTTAACCATTGCAGAGGAGCAAGAGTACAATCTTAAGATGGCAAGAGAGGGGATCGTTTGCACAGTAGTGGATCGCGCCCCTCCCCCTCGCTAAGTGCTGCAGAGATGTGAGGGAATGTGTGTGTATGTGAGGATCTGAGCATAGGAAGAGGTGGGGGGGAAGGGGGAAAGAAAGTGTATGAGTGGAGGCAATTCCTATGGGTTAATGATGGTTAGAGATGAAACAGGGTACAGGAAATGGATAAGAGAGGTGAAGGTGTAGTGTAAGCTGGTAAAACGATGTCTGTCATATAGGAAGGTAAGGCTGGGGCTCTAACATGAGCAAATCTGAAGTTAAGTTGTTTTTTTTTCTTCATGTAAACTATGGAGAGATTAAAAATCTGTCAAGGCTAAATCCTCTGAGGATTTCTATCTTCTGTGTTTTTTTTCTAAGCTGATGTGCAGGCTGTGTTATCGGGGTGGCGGCCCGGCAGGGGGTGGGGGATTGATTGCCTGTAGTGATACAGTGGTTCAACCAAAAGGCGAGTTTCTCCAGAAGTCTCCCAGGAAAGAAAAAACATGCTTCTCTTCATGTGTCATGCTTATGAGATCCGACACACAGACTGCCCTATGTTGCCACTGTACTGCTGAAGCCCCTCATGCAGCGTCTCACATATACACAAAGTTAAGAATGCACAAAAATGCATAAAGATCAGGCTTTTTGTATGCACATAGACACACATTCTCTTCTCATTTCCCTAAGCCTGAAACAGCCGGAAGTAAGAGCAATCCTCCTTGGCTTTGACCCTGAATCTAAACACTGAGAGAGAAGGACATGGGACTAGGAAGTCCATAAAAATAGGACAAGTTGTCTCTGTAGAAAAATAAAGGAATTTCCAAAGGCTGATACTTTGTCTTTGGCACTTTTGAGAAGACAGCATATGTAAAAAAAATCTGATACTAAGATTAAAAGGCCAAACTAGAACTATAGAGTAAAGCACAAGTTCATCCGCATATAAGTTTAGCCATTCCGGGGTGGACCTGAGCCTGAATAGGGCCGTATTCCACCACCTCTCCATCGACGGTGATCATGCCCTGTTGTGAAATGGGCTCTAATCTCAGGGCCCTCACTTTTTCATACACAAGGTAGGGGCAACCGCACGCTAAGTGGGAACCTTTCTCCATGGCGAGGAAGAGACGCAAGAGGGCAGGCCGGGATATTCCTGCGGTCACATAAAACAGATGAATCAGACCATCGTCTGCCATCGCTCCAGGAACCGTCCACAGGTCCTCAGCCAGGTGGGACTGGTAAATAGCCAACACCAAAACAAAGTCCTCTTCATTGACCACGGTCCAGTTGTCAGGGACCGGCTGGTCTAGGCTGGGGAGGAGAGAATCTACAGGCGATGCAGTTTTGTTGTTTCTGTGTGGCTCAAGAATGGTGTTGGTGATGACATTGGAGGATTTGGTGATGGAGTTTTGGTTTAGGTTCGTATCAATGCAATTTTTGAGAGAGCTCTTCTTTGGCGAAGCATTTGGAAGAAGGTGACAAGGTAGGGATGAACAGAGAGAGGGCTTCTTAGGGGTGGACGGAGGGTCCTTCCCACTCCCTTTTGGAGGTTTCAGTGTTTCCTTAGCAGGTAAGTACGCCAACCTGCCCTGATATACTCTGAGGGAGGCCAGACGCACCAGGGTGCCCATCAGGAAGCGGATAGGTCCCACATGACGATACTTCTCGCTCTCGATATCTACATCTGCCACGAAGCCCCAAGCCAAGGAGAGGAAGGAGAACAGACGCTGTCTGGAGGCCAAATGGACGGACACCAAGTCAAGGGAGCTAACTAGACCTTTGCACAGCATGAATCCACAGCTCAGGAGCAGCTCCTCGTTCCAGGCTGGGGGCGACCTGTTGATCATTACAAAAAAAAACAATTAAAAAAAGGTAATACAGCAATGCCAATATGCAATAATGCAGATATCTTATTTAGCATCGCCTTATTCAACTATGTAAAGACTAAACTAAACAAAGAAAAACCATTTAACCACTATTGTTACTAGTGTTGCACCGATACCAGTATCGGGCAGGGCCCCGATCCAGCACTAAATTGGTGGTATCGGTATCGGCGAGTACCAACAAATGGGGCAACGATACCATTTTGAGAGCCTAAAGTTTATTCAATTACTGTCACCCATTCCAGGTAGGCAATAAAAAGTTCTACTGCATTCAGTTTGTATTGGTCGTTTTGCTTCACTAAGCCATAATGGCAATTATTTTACATCCAAGTAGTATGCAGTTTTTCATATATACACACACACATCAATTTCAAACAGATGGTATTGATATCGGCCAATACTGCACAGCCAGGTATTGGGGCCAAAAAATGGCATCGGCGCAACACTAATTGTTACCAAAAGAAAATATTCCTTACGGTGAAAAATATGTTTAAGGTATTTTTTCAATTAAACTAAACATATTCTTAATTGATCAAAGAAGAGATATTGTATGATTTAGTTCTCTATCTCAGGCAGAAAAACAACTGAACAGCCTCGTTTTCTTAGTACAGTAATTATGCCACACTTACAGTGTAAATTGGGATTTTGCATTTAGGAATACTATTATTTTTAACTACCGCACCTAAGTAGCCGAGGTACCTTTTGACCTTTTACAAGAATAACTACTATCTCCACAGACAGCTTCCAAATTTCTATGTTAGACTCTACAGATTAAACGGTAACGACTACTTCCAGGTATCATGCTCAGAAAAGGCCCTTAACCCCACACTGCTCCCTGGGCACCACACAGTGGCAGCCCACTGCTCCCCAAGGGGATGGGTTAAATGCAAAGGTCAATTTCTCCAGTGTGAGATCAATAATAAATAATAAAAAAAAATATGTTCAATTATTTATCATTATATAATTGTCTCCAATATAGCTTAGTCAAGAGAAACACGACCAGAGGATGTGCAAGAAGCTTTGTCCACATTAGTCAGAGCTTGTTAAATTAAGTTCTTATACTTTTTGCTGCAAATTATGGTTTTTGGGCCTTTTTTTTTATAATATTCTCTGGGTCAGAATCAAAAATTACCTGCCAGGAGAGTTTGTGCCTCCAAGTGACTTTTCCGACAGTGTGCAGCTGCTGTGCAGATACTTCCCAGTCTGCTAAGCTACTAAGAACGACTGAGGAAGCACAGGAACCAAAGTTGAGGTCTGTTTAAAATTGTATCTGGACCGCAAAGTAGGCACTCTGTTAGCTGTTTTGGTGTTAGAAGATGATGGAACAAATCTGGTTAAAGCACTTTGAATTAATCTCTTTTAAGCCTCAGAGGGACAAGGAAGCTTAGGTCAGCTTTTAATGAACTAAAACTACATTATGATCATTAAATTTCTTATTCATAAAGCATTCCCTCTTGGTTATAGTAGAATTATTGTTGGTATCTCTGTTTTATATATGTTGTTTCTTCTTGCAAAATGAAATTATTAGGAATGAACATTAGTTTTACCAATAATAGATCAAATCTATTATGTTAAATATGGTTTCATTTTATTTTAATGCTATCCCTGATTGATTTGTAAAGAGTTTTGCGATGCCAAGTAATTTTTGATCAGAACAGTACAGGCCGCTTCCACATGGCATCAAAGATTACCTTGCAAGCAAGATTCCCCAAAATACATCATGCCAGATGCCAATAGATGCATTAGCCTAGAATAAAAAATTTTCCAATGGAACCAGAAGCACCAGCGGATGTAGCGGTAGACTCAGCTATTTAGTCTGTTTTAGCTGGAATACACATCTATTTCAATTTGAAAAAGACACAATTTCTGCTTTTGGGGAGGAGAGAGATTTTTGCATAATCTGTATTATTGTAGGTTTCATTAAAGATGATTTCCATCTAGAAAGCTAATACCTATGCCACGTCAGTAAGGGGTGGGTTAAGGCTTAACAACGAACCCAAGAGAGAGAAAAGAGGAATTAATCTACCAAACACAACAGAGAAGCAAAACGTCTTGGACTAAAATCCACAATGAAGAGCTTCTGTAGCACAACAGCAACTCTAAAGTCTACCATTGTTTTTAAGTGCATGCGGGTTAAAGGAGAGGGGAGTCTGTTTCTTATGTGCAAACATGCCAGTTTGAAATAATAATGGTTTCCAAACAGAGCCGCTCTAAAGAAAGACTTCAAACCTTCACTCTGTTGGAACAGGTTTGATTAAATACTGTTTTTGCTGCCACTTGGTCTGGGCAGGATCCCTTAAGGCCAATTTATGCTTCTGACGCATAGCCTCTGCAACCGTCAAACCTGTCTCTGTGGGAAACCACGCCCCCTGCACAGAGGTTCTGCAACCGTTGTCGCACACCTCAAAAAAATCCTGACTAAGCATCGGGCGGTCACGAACCCACGCAAACCTCAAGCGGCAGTGCGCAGACAAAAAGCAGCTGTGATTGATCCTTGGTACGCTGTCTGTGTGGTCATCCTTCTCGATTCGGTGCCGGGGTGCGCCATTTTTAAAAAACGAGGAACAACTACAATCGACAACCTACGCGTCCTCCCTTTTACTTTTTGCAGACTCCATTAACAGAACCTGTTCCTCTTTGATGTCTAGCAACACTAGATCCATCTCTGTGACCGTGATATCTTGCAGACGCACCATTGTTGTTTTGGAAGATAAACACTCCTGCCAGCGCCGCTGAAGTTCTCGTGACCATCCTTTGAAGTTCTCGAATAGGCTCCCCTTGCGCTTTGGCGGAAAACTGCTGTGCATCCCTAGAAATTCCAGATCAACGGGGCAGAAGCATGCCAGCAAAACTGAATCGCAACCAGACCCAAGCGACATTTTTTGATGTGTGCGGTTGCAGAAGTCTTATCTGCCCTTTATCCGACCAAGACATTGGTTTGGTGGGCTACATCCAAACCCAACTTCATCTGGAAGTGGCTGTGGTTTCTTTTGCTTTATTGCATTAGTGGGATATGGAGTGGAATTAATCGCCTTTTGTTTAGTAAAGTGCCTTGAGATGAGATTTGCTGGGAACTGGCACAAACTAAACTGAATTAGGAAGGAATTTACTGGTTTGACAAATTTTTCTAAAGACTAAACAGATCATGCTAAAAATCTAAAAACATGGGCAGAGCTCAAAGATAATGGACAGTTGTTGCCCTGTGTGAAAATAAAATAAAAGTAGATATCAGGCTAGACATCTCAGTCATTCCATGTGTCTGTTTAGAATAATACAATAAAACTAAGAGTGTGTGATTCAAAGTGTTCTGCTGGATCAGGACAGGGTTCTTTATCAAAGGAAATTACTCATTGTCTTTATTTATTTTCTCATATATAAGGATCAACTGATGTCAGTTATTGTTCAGGTTCAATGTAGTATGAGCGATCAGATAATCCATATCCAAATTAATCAAAAAAATACAGAAACCCATCTGTACTGTTATGAGATCCAGGAATATATTTGGAGGAGGGTACATTTTAATTCACAAAACAAGACTTTAAAGGTGCTTTGTGAGCTCAACTAATCTTATAATTTGGTCATTCTTGAGACATTTGAACCAGTTTTCTCAGTTCTGAGACAGTGGAACACAAATGTGGTATTCTGCATGTTAAATGCTGTAGTCTTTTTTTCCTATGACATGTCTTCCTCTTATTGACACATAAACTATGGATCTGAAAAAACAAATAGTCATCCAAATTATAAGATCCATAGATCGGCAAATCTAAGTTGTTTTGGACACATCCAGTGCCCTAACATGCCATAAAGCAGATGTACTCAGGAGATTTTTGCACATCAGTGATGCTTCTGTGAAATTCTGCCAACATCCAGTCAGCAGACGGGGATGAAAACCTGGACATGTGCTGGGTCAACATAAAGCGTGAATTTCTAAACCTCTTACATCATTGCTTTGAGAGTTTATGCAACCAGAAATGAACTTCTGCTGCACAGCAGAACAGTCCCAGCAGCTCCCCTCCCCTGAGGAACAATAAGCCCAGTCAGCCTTTACTATAATTACAAAGGAAGGAGATAAATGTCTTTTATAAACTAAAAAGGGACCAGCTTTAGCCCTGTTAGCCTTTGCATTTAAATGACTCATTAAAAGATGGACTCACTGCGAGTAGTGGTGGACGGACGCGGCCAGGGCATTGCCAGAGCCACCTGGTAGGATACCTAAAGGAGTCTGGATGGCTTGCTGCCAATCTTCACGCTCCATCAAACCATTTATCACCTGAGAAAACAGGGAAAAAAACGACAAAAATATGAGCTTTGGTTCCAAACTAAGACGTTTTTCTTATCTGGTAGCATTAAATTTCCAGGGTGACCAGATGGTACTACGGCTGAGGACAAAAATAATTTCTGGATGACTGCAGTGGGTTTTTTTAAGCAGCAACCCCACCACCTGATCTCCTTTATTATGTTCGATAAATTAAAATTTAATATCCCTATTCCAATAATGGCTGAAAATAGAAACCTGAGTTATAAGGCTGATCCAAGACCCACTGATAATGAATCTTTAGCATTAATGGGCAGAAAAGTGCTGTATACCTCAAACAGCAGCCCGTCACCAGACATGATAACCAGTGCGTCCCACTGCGACAGGTCAGCCTTCCTCACCAGCTCTCTTGCGTGGTTCTGGTGCTCTAATAAAGAGAAGAAATGTTAAAGTAAACTGCAAGACAAAGCAGAAAACCCAGCAGAATGTAGGACAAGGTGACAAAGTGATGATAAAAATGGGTATAAGGCAGAGAAAAAGACATGTTCCTGTCATTGCTGCAGGCTCTGGAGGGGGGATCAGGGAGATTAGGCAGAAAAGGGATTCAATTTCCTCTTATTGGAGCAGACATATCACATTAGCTCATCCAGAGGCTACTCAGCGGCTCCCAGCCAGCTTAGCCAGCCTGCAAACATCTGTGACAGAGCGAGTGGGGAGCATGTGGTCGCATTTTGTTAAATGTGCTGGTAAAGAAGTTGACTATTTGTTCAGCCTAGTTTTGTTGGCTGTGTCCTTGAGCTGGTCCCTGCACTGAAGGTCTCTGTGGGCTCATCCTGCCAGCATTAAAATCTAGCCCTGCCAGACGAGACTCCCCTGTGTAGTCGCGTGTGGAAAATAGAAACAGCTTTAGAGAGGAAGGGACGGCCGACACGCAGCTGAGAGGCACGGATGTGCAGCCACTATGATGGAAAATATTCCTCCTGAAGTATTGATCAACACTCTTCTTTTACTTTCCCAGCCTCTACATGGCCCCCAGACCTTCATACTCCTATGCTGGCTGCGAGCTGGACGCACTAGTGCTGGTGATGCAGGGCTGTGTTGACAGGAGTAACTCTACTGCACAGCTGACTCAACATTTCTGACCTGCAAGAGTGATGGTTTACTTCTCAGATTCTTATTTATTGAAAAGGTCAATAGAAAACCAAACATAAAGTCTGTGTAAAGTAAAAGATCTTATTTTGATTTTTTTTATAGGTTTTTAATCATATTTACAAAAATCTTCTGGTCAGATTTTACAACTAGAAAAAGAAAGAAAGTTGTTTTTTAAATGAAGAAATCTCTCCCCACTGAAAAGTATATCCATGTACTGGTAAATATATGTAAGTTTAAGGCCTTTATTTGCATGAATCACTGCATCCATACAAGTTGGAAATCAGCCTCTAGCTCTGCTGATATATAATAAAAGCCCAGGTTGCTTTGAAAGCAGGCCTCCATGCTTCTAGATTCAACCCAGTCTCTTGGGAAAATGTACCTCGACTACGTTGGTCCACACTGCAAAACGTAGTAGAGGTACATTAATGGCCATTTTTTTGTGGTACTGTTACATTTCTTCTGCAGTGTGGACCAACGTACATTTTCCCATGAGACTGGGTTGCTAGATTGCATGCCTGTGTCCTGTCAGATCAGCATACCCCTTCAAACCAGCATGCCTTTAGTAAATACCCGTTTATCCCTCTAGATTTGTACGAAAAATATACTTTAAACTCAACAGGCATGTATCCCTTTAGTCATGTACAAAAAAACTAATTTATTACTTCCTTTTCGGTGCTTTTTTAATATAGCTATCTGATCTTTAATTGTTTTTTTTGTACAGTACTAAAGGGGTACAACGGGTAGTTTAAAGAGCATTTTTCGTTCGAAACTAAAGCGCTAAACGGGACTAGCATACCCGTATGCAAATCTGACATCGTTGTCCGGCTGATATTCTTTTTTATTTTGTTGGTATTGGTCGATAAATGCTTTGTAGCTTCATTCATGCATTTAGCAGCCATGCCTAGAGATTAGGTGAAGCGTTTGCATTGCAGCTCCTTCCATTTTCTATTCATTGTAGGGCTGCAAATAATTATTGATGATGATTATTGATGATTATTTTGCAAATCCATTAATCTGTCCATTCTTTTTTTGATTAATTGATCTATAATTGGATAGACAAATGTTCCTAAGAGAAGACTTTTTACAAAATTAAACCAGGTAAACTAAAACTTTTCCACTTGAGGAGTTCTGGATAGAGCATATTGATGGACGAAAATGTTTTTTTATTCTTAACTGCAAAATGTTTATTTATTTATTTTTTTTTTTACAATTGTCAGGTAAAGGCATGTATTACAGTTTTTATACTCCAGTTAATGATTAATCAATTACTAAATTAGTTGAAAAATATTTTGCTAATTGATTAATCATGGTTCATTTGATTAATTGTTTCAGCTCCGATCCATTTTTAATGTTTTGTTTTAAATTTGTTAATAAATGTTTCTCTTTTTGATCACAATAAGACTTCTGCAGCAGTTGTATCCTTCTGATTTCTATCATGTAAATAGAGGAAAACAAACCAATACTGGCCTGAAATATCAGCAGCACACATCCAGGGATCCGTTAGACTGATGAAAAGATCATCGGCATTGGAATCAGCCTTATAACCTGCATCCATTCATTTTTACTTTAAATCATTGCAATATGTGAAGGTCTCATACTGGGCTTCACAGAACTTGGATTATCTGCTTCTCTGCTCTTTCTTTGCACTCTGGTACCTTGATTCCTAAATAAAAAGCTAGATTAACTTCTATATGAAATAGGACATTAAGCCACAGAGCAACAGTCATGACTTTTTCCTTCTTTGCCAAGCTATGATGCATCAGACTTTTCCTCTTGTTCTGAACTGGCTTAACAAAAGGCACAACATGGCAACGGTCCATATTCTGGTTAAACCAGTGTGACACCAGCAGAAGTCCACACCTTGTGAAATTTGACAAAAACTCTGAAATGAACATTAAGTCACAATCCTCTCAAGCTTCCTGGCGGGCCTCTTTGAGCCATGATATCTGCAATAGATACACACTTCTGTTACATTTTATATAGTTGTACCTTTAAAGATACGTTTGGCCATAGGATTATGTGTGTTTTAAACTGACTTTATAAAATGAATATACTTTCCCATAATAATCTAATTTACTGAGATGGACCTGCCTTTAACTCTTTAGTTGTCATTTCTACAATTTAAAAGTCTTTCTGCAGAATCCAACACGTATTTTAAACTTCTGGCAAGTTTTTCAAGTGCTGGCGGCTGGCCCATAGAGGGCGCCGCCCCACACCCAATGACCCTGATTAAGACGTAAAAAAAAAATATTATTATTATTTATAATTTATTTTTAAATTAAAATGTAAAATATTTTGAAATATATCTATATATAGTTTTTAGATGTGTAAGATAAATATTTAACCTTTAATGACTAGTGAAGCGTCATTCCATTTTTCGTCGGATTGGTGACTTATTTCTAGCCTGACGTAGTCCGACTCAATTCTAGTCAGAATATGAGTCTGATACTGCTCCATAGAGCTGTGATTATGGGGCGTGTTTTGAACGAACCAGGAAAAAAATGCCTCTGCACTCAATTGGATAGACCTACAACCAATAAGAGCAACGGAGTGCGTGACGTATGTTAAGCCACGCATAGTTGTTGTCAACAAAAATCAAAGCGTGCAGTTTCACGCCTAGAATAAGAAGATGAGCCTTGATCGCGTTTCTCTGTTCCTCTTTTAAAATTAATTTGCTGTCGATATCTTCTAGAACAGACCTAATAGCAGAATCTACTCACCTAAACTCTCCAGCGGCAGCCATTATTGTTGTCACCCAAGCGCGCTTTGGTCACGTGGTTGATAACGTTACTCTTGATCATCTGTCCATCATCGTATAAAGCCCGCCCTGACAATTTGATTGGATCGCCTGACAGTGGGCTTTAATACTCGCGCTACTATGGAGCAGAGCCAGACCGAACTTCCCCGAACTCAAACCTTGTGGGCGGGACTAAGTTTGGACTGGCACCCAGGCTAACTTATTTCAGCCCTTGGGCGCAAAAATCTTTGCCCATTGACTCTCGTTAAACGTTGTGTCACAAACTTATCCATTCCGGAAGCACGAGCCGTTCTGCGCATACGCAATCAGCTCATTTGCGCATGCGCATCCAGATATACATTCGGGTCGCCCTAGATTTTATTTTGTAAAAAGACCTCCCCAAAAATAGTAAGCGTAGTAAAATCTAATGTGTTAAAGGTTAATAATGTATTTCCTGAGAGAATAAATGCTTTAAAATCCTTTCTGTTTTATCAGTGGTCTCTGCTCGATCTGCAACGGAAATGGGATCCTACGCTACTTCCAGCGGCTAACTTTTTCAGTCTTTTTTTAACTTTCTATTTTTGTTTTGTTTTAACCTTATGTTATATAGTGCGTAATCTAAAGAAAGAAAAAACTAAAACGCGGATAAACATGGTTTAATCATATTTTGCTGGATTCCTCTGAGCATGTCTGATGATGACATCAGAGAAGCAGTTTAACGAAGAAAATGGAAAAAGCATAAAAATTGTCTCACAAAAGTCATAAAACATTTTTTAAAGATGTGTATTAGCATTATTTAGTGGATAGAAATAAGTAGTTTTAGTACTAGGGCTGGGAATTTTAGCCAAAGTCCTGAATCTATTCGATTTTGATTCATACAGTTCTAAATCGATTCATTTCGATTCGATCTGTTTTTACAATAATGAAAGTGGTTCAACTGTGTTTCAAAATACTAATGCATTTAATTTTTTCCTGTCATATTAAACTTAAAGTGCAAACTTGTAAATCAGACAGTTTAAACTTGAGGTGTGAACAAAGCTGTCTCAAACGTGCAAACTTGTTTGTGAAAAGTGAAAAGGTGAAGCCTTAATCGAGCGAGCAGACGTGACTCAGCAGACATGCATGAACTGCATTAACTTCACTGCACAAACCATATTTGCAGCATTGTCTGTAACAACTACAGGGTGTTTTCTGGTCAGCCTATTTGTTAATGTCTTCAGTCAACCTATTAGCTATATTTGCAGCTATCAGGTCATCTTGAATGCATCTTTCCTGCTCATTTGAATGTGAACGTCACACGCGTCACTATAAAACTAATCGATCTCATTCCCTAGACATCGATTTTGCAAAAATTTAAAGGAATCGAATAAATCGATTATTTTACCCAGCCCCATTTAGTACCATAATTACATTATTTATGGAAACCCGCATGTAACTGTTCTCGCATGCGCAGGACGGATCGTGCTTCTGGGACGGATCAGGTAGTTATTAGTTATTAGCACAAAGGCTTGGCTAACAGCATGTAGCTTTATTCTGCTTTCCCTGCCTCCTTATTCAAAAGTCAGGATCTGACCCAGCATGGGTAAAGAAAGGTAGAACCGATTTAAGAAAAGGCAAAGAAGAAAGATCAATCTGGAATTCACATGGAAAATAATATAATATTGTGTATTTTTGCTAGATGTGTGTTAGTTTGCATAGTTCCCGGTAAAGTTCCTGGTAAATAAACTCATTCTCAACACATTTTCATATATTAAAAAAAGTATAAAGCTGACCAATAGCTTCTCCATTATTAAAGTGGCATATTGTCTTTTTTAGGTTTGTGACACAATATTGGACCATGCAAAACAAAGATTTGCCTTCACAAAGCCTCAGAAAGGCAAGATTTATGTTCAAAAGTTAAGCCTATGCATGAAATCATGTTTTTTTTATGAAGTGTTTTCATAAAGTTTTTGTTGTTGGCATTCATATAAATATACTGGTATGACAACTTAGTATACGTTTGATTGTTTTTTGGTATACGTCTATTTTGAATTTATAGCCCCCCCTGGAGAAACTCCACCAGCCCCCACTGCTTTCAAGCAAGTCATTATTCTCTGGCCCAACTTTACTATTAAAGTCTCTGTTGAAGAAATTCTTGTTTTCATCACTTTTAAAACATATAATGAAATCTGAAGGCAAAGGAAGCTCATGGTTGTGCTTTTCACATTACAGTTTTTGTCCTGTCTGTCTAATCTTTCACAAGTAGCAAGAACTGAGTTTGATAAACAAAGGATAAAAAAAATTAAATCTGGGTCAAATTCTGTTCTTTTCTTTTTAAAAGCTGCAATTTGCTATAGATGCTACTGTCTTCTGCTTTACATGAGGTAAATCAAGGCAAAGACTTAAAGTGCTGGACTTGTAAAAGTGCAGGTTAACATGACACAGGCCTCCTGTCCATCCTGAGGCAAAAGCAGTTTGATACTCTCATCAAAAAGGCTTCCACTGACTAAAAGGGACTAAGATGAGTTCTCACAATTAATGCTGAAACCTATGACTCTGGAGCACCAGTGTCCTGTAATACCCCCTTGCTTTGTGTCCATCTATGTTCCTGTTCGTCAGCCTCAGTAATTAGGCTCATTGCTGACCCTCCTTCAGGTCCCAGGAGCCCATTAAGTATGTGCGAGCATGCCAGCGTACTTCTTCAAAGAGAAGAAAACCACACAAGCAGAGTTTCTGCTCCATCGCTCTGCTGCCTTCGCTGTCATAATCCGTCTCACGTCGAGCTGCAGGAGAGATCCAGCTGCATAATGCCGAGCTGATTCAAAAAGAGACGGTATTTTCATACCTATGAACCGTGGGTCGTCCCTACCAAAGGTAAGTTTGTACGGTAATACATCCAATTATTTTAAATTACAACTACAATAAGATAGATCATCAGCAAGTGGTGAATAATTGTAAGGTGGAAAGAAACTAAGACTTTTGTGTTTTTTTCTTGGAAGAAAATGTTTGCCATGGATTTGTATTTTGCTCCATTTTTAATTTGACAAACATAGATATAACCTGACCATAAGTAATGACTGTCAGAAAGTACCTACTAAGCAAATAAAGGCCACTCAATACAAATATGGCTGATCTGGGAAGACCTCAGATGTTTGCAAGATATTGTGGTAACAAACAGCCTGAGGAAAACCAAAGAAGACAGCAGACAGATGAAGGGCAAAACTGTGAAGGGTTTAAAAGAAAACCCCAACATTAAAACCTCTCAGAGAGTGCAACTGCAAACCTACTAAGACACAGCCGTCCATCTAAAGTACATTAATCAGAGAAACCATCAAGAAGTCAATGGCTAATTTAGGTGAGCTCCAGAAAGTCAGAGTTCAGGTGGAAGACTCTGTCAACAGGACAAACATTAGTTATGAGTTCCACAAATCCAGCTTTTGCAAAAAGATGGCAATATGGAAATTTATTATTGAGAGAAAATCCAAAAAATGTCTATTTGGATTTTACCACGGAATGGCTCCGGTCTGGTGACATCTTAATAAGATGGAGAGAGTAAAACACAGGTTAACTCTTTAACAGACTGTAGAGGACCTGAGTCAAAGGAGGAGGTCCACCTTTCAGCAGAATTACTCCTAAGCAAACATCAGGAGCAACAATACGTTGTTTATTCATTTGTTAGAAGGACACAGACAAATTCAATCCTTTATCATTGTGAAAAAAGTAAATATATATATATATATATATATATATATATATATATATATATATATATATATATATATATATATACATATATATATATATATATATATATATATATATATATATATATATATATATATATATATATATATTCTCTGTCTCTTTATATTGCTGCCCTTGTATTACATTAAAGTCCAATAAAATGCATCGAAGTTGGATGTAACTTGACATAATGTAAAAAAGATTAAGGGTTCTGAGCACTTTTACATAACTCTGTCTGTATGAGATGAAATGTGGATTATTTTATCCCAGATCTATAAATGAAGCTGTTCAGAATAACAGCTTCCTAGCAAAGAAAAATAGCCTTGGTTGCACAATCCTGTTAAAGGTCACAAGAAGGCATTTTCCAATCATAGTGAATATGCAGCAGATGGCGTGAATAGAATGAGAATTTAATTCTCTTGCTGTCTAGGAGCACATGACTTGAAAATTTGTGATCACAAAAACAATGCATAATTCCAGCAGAGATTAAAACTTGCTTGGAAGCATCGTCAGTTCGCCTCATGTTAGCGTGTGCGTAACTCCCAGCATGACCCAGTTCTCAGAACGCTCACGCTATGCTGTAGTGGAATTTTTAATCCTCTGTTTTATGCAAAGATAACCCCGGGAGGAGCAGCAGTAAAATGCATGTGGAAAACATATTTATAACTGACCTGTGATGACAAGGGTGTATGGGATGGATGCCTCTGTGAGCATGGCCTGTATGTGGCCGGTGAACAGCTGGAGAGCCTGCCCACGTCCGCTCTGGGGGTTCACCAGGATCATGGTTCTGCAAGGTCTCCTCAGCTCTGTATAGATCACACCTGACAGGCAGAAAGAGGATGAAGTGAGCAATGGACAGGGCGAAGAGGAGAAGACTATCCTAAAGGTACAGTGTGTAATAATAATTACAGGGATTTACTGATAGAAATTGAATATATTATCTACCTCTATGTTTGCCTTACCTTAGAAATTGCTATTTATAATTGCATAGGACTCACTTTGCATTTGTGCGCTACAGCAGCTCAGAGCTAAAAAACTAGTAAACATTGTTACCATTACGCTCAAATCGGACTGCATTAAGTTATATTCAGTCTTACACAGACTTATAGAATACTATATATAAAATAATCTATGTAAAGTAGATAATTAAAGTTTTTCTGAGCGGACTTGAATCTTTCTCTTGCCCTCAGTCCATGTTTGTTTTGTTCAGAGTGCCTAAACCAGGGGGAAGAATAACCTTGACAATAGAGGTAATGTAAGGCGGCGTTCCATAAGCAGGATGAGCCGGTCAGCTGTGCTGTCCTCCGTGGCTAAAGAACCACAGCGGCAGCTTGCTAGCTCAGGAAGAGAACTGAGGCTCAGTAGCTCGGAGAGGCCTGCCAGGAAACAGAGCACTGATGGCCCAGAGTGGCTAACCTGGTCCAGGCAAATTAGAGACTAACTGAGGAGGATTGAACTGGAACAGTTTAAGATGGGATTAGACCACTGGATGAAGAGGGGTCTGAAGGCAAGGGAGAGTGGCTACGGCTTACCATGAGGAGGACGGCCAGGGAAACAGAGCAGGAAGAAACTACGGCAAGCTAAGGCTAGCTGTTAGAAGTGGATGGGGGTCTGCTGAGGGTCGGACGAGCCTGTAGCTGAACTGGGCGTCGGAGCAGGATGAGAGAAAGGATCAGCTGGTCTGTATCTGTACTGGAGGTAGGATAAGAAACTGTCCTTTGAGGGCTAAATTATTAGGGATGCACAATATTGGGATTTTGGCCGATATCCGATATGCCGATGTTTTAAAACTCATGTAGCTGATAACCGATATCGATACTGATGTTAAAGCTGGACAAAAATAAGTAGTCATTGAAAATAGCAGTTTTGTTATCCATTTCTGATACTTTGCAAAATAATATACTCAAATATATTTTCATATGCTGATATCAAATAGATTTTTAAAAACGCGGTATTGATCTATTTTACTTTCAAAATCTCGTGAAATTTCATCGTTCTGTTACAAACTCTCAGGATATTTTGCAAATTCTTGTGAGATTTTGTTAGTAAAATAGATCGATACAGCGTCAATATATCAACATATAAAAATATGGCAAAATTTCGTGAATTTTCAGGGGATTTTGTAGCATAACGATGACATATAGCAATATTTCATTAGTAAAAGAGATTGATATGGTGTTTTTAAATGGCAATATATCAGCATATGAAGATATTGTGTTATTTTAAGGTATCAATATTTCTTCCCTCGTCTTTAGAAGTTTTTTAGTTTGTAAAAAAGAAGTTTTTGAGGAAGAAGTAGTATATATATATATATATATATTTATTTTATTTTTTTTTAGACTTTATAAACTCAGAAGCTGATCAAATATCGGGTTAAATATCGGTGGGGTGGCCGATGTCCGATATTCAGTTTTAAGGCCGATACCGATAGGGGGCCGATTATATCGTGCATCCCTATAAATTATTCTTTTTTTTAAAAGCTACATGCAAACCTCTTGAGAGCATTCCCAACTTCATCCTTTGTCAACTTTATTTTCTCTGTCTTCTTTTTGGGCGTTTCATGGTGCTGCAGTCTGACCATTACACATTGTTGCTTTAAAGAGTAAATAACTCTTACTTCTCTGGATATATGCATAGAAATGCAATGGGAGGTAAACATGCAAGAACCCTGCAGCAGGCAGCTGGGAGAAGACAGGGACAGACAGTACTCAGTTTGAATGTGACATCCTATAAAGAGACGGCTTACTCATGCATTTCACCTGGGATCTAAGCTATTATTTATGATCAATGCTGGGAAGTTTAAAATCCATGACAAAGGCAACCTGCTACTTGTGCCTTTTAAATAAACAATCAATTTCCAGAGAAAATAAAACATTTAGATAAGTGGGGTTTAACTAAAAGGGGTTGTTCTTGATCACCAAGACCCCTCTACACTTACTCTACACTTAATTCTGTAAGATAAAGCTTTGAAGATGTTTTTCCTCCCTTACTTTTCTCTCTGTCTGTTAGATACCCAGATAAAAAAGGATATTTACAGTTCTAGTTGTTTATAATGTTTTGTAGATACTGATGCTAATTTTGTAGCAATTTAAATGATTTAAGCACATCTGCCTTGCTGCCTTGCCACCAGGAACAGGTCCAACTTATTGCTGGCAATGCAGACCAGGCTCCTGCGCTGCTTGTACAGAGACCAGATGGCCCCCGACCCCATACTCCTGAAGCCGCCCCAAAAGAAACTACGAGGGACCTGGTTGAATGCCTAAAAAGCCTAAAAAAGTCTAAAAAGCACATGTGGACTGGTTGGGCAAAGTGCAATGAACCCTCGAGCACCCTGCATAGGGTGTAGATCTTGTCCACAGTTCCCAGACCGGGATGAAAACTCCACTGCTCCTCCTGAATTAGAGGTTCAACCATCAGCTCCTCTCCAGCACTCTGGCAAAGTCTGGCATAGGGGAGGCTGAAGAGTGTGATTCCCTATGGTTGGAACACTCTCAGATCCCCTTTCTTATGCAGATGGAATCACCACCCCTGTCTGCCAATCCAGAGGCACCATCCTGACCTCCATCCATTGAAAAGCCGTGTCAGCCAAGACAGCCTGACAACATCTAGAGCTCTAAGGTACTAAGGGCGGATCCTGGCCAACCCCAACTCCACCACCGTGGAGTTTTTTGACCACCTCGATGACTTCAGCCTGAGTGATGAACAAATCCGGCCCCAAGCAACCCTTCTCTTCTTCCACCACGAAAGTCTGTCAGATTGATAAGATCCTTAAAGTATTCCTTCCGATGTCCAAATACGTCGTCTTTCAGAGTCAGCAGCCTTCCACTGAAAACAGTGTTAGCAAACCACTGTTTTCCGCTTCGGAGATGCCGGAAGGTTAGCCAGAATGACTTTCAGGTCAACCGATAGTGTCAGGCTTTTTAAAGATCGGCGAATCGATGATCGGGCAGTAAACCTGTCATCAGTGCACCCCTGATTTCCACCTATAACCAACATGTTTTAGATAATAGTCCATAAAATACATTTTTTTTTTTGTTGTTGTTGCTTTTCTTCAATGGCAACTGAAATAAAGAAACTGCCTTACTGAGTTCAGTGAATAAGCAAACAGGTTTAAGATTAGTGGGGAGTGGTGACCTAGTGGTTTGGGCATTGTGCTTGGCATCCAGAGGTTTTGAGTTCAAGCCCCAGTCCCACTGACTCCCACTCTGGGTCCCTGAGCTCCCCGGGCACCGCACAATGGCAGCCCACTGCTCCCCAAGGGGATGGGTTACATGCAGAGAGTTAACTTTGTTGCTCTGTACTTGTGACAATAAAATACTGGGAAAAAAAAAAATTAAATAAAGTTATAATATCTCAAATACCTGCTGGTTCTAATACCGTCTCTCAACACACAAGACACTGAACCTAAAGGGTGATCTGCTAAAGCAGCAAAACGTCAAACCAGTACAACAATGTTAACTAACAGGACACATGAAGCTTAAGTTTTTTCAATGCAACATATAGGCAGTGTTGCAAGCAAAGCACCTTAATTATATCATCATTGTAAATTAAAATCTTAGAGGAATGTGGCACACAACATCTGGCATCTATCCCACAAAAATAAAGGCCAATGAAAGTCCAAAGGAGGTCAAATCAGTTTAAGCTGGATGATTCAGATAAAGTGGCAAGTTAGTATGTATAATCTGTCAGTATGTAACACTGAAGCAGCGTTAGGTAGCCACAGATATAAGAGCTGAATGACATATAGCCATGATCTTTGAGTTTCTGTGCAATTGCCTTGGTATAATACAATCCATCCTACAGATCCAACCTCTTCTAGACTTAAGTTGTATTTTAGAGACCTTTTAAAATAATATACCAGAAAAAAGTGCCTCAAAAAAGAAATTTGAAGCCAAGCTTTCAACTATGGAGTAAGTAAGTTACTTCACCATATACTGTTCTCCAAACAGGAAAACACACCAGACTCACCAGAGGTTCTTTTTGAATGACAAATAGTCTAATTTTGGAACAGAAGCATTAAAGATTTATTTCTATTCTGAAACTGACAAGAAAAACCCAGTTTGTTATGAATACAATTTCTTTCCAAAAGCATAGTTTCAGTACAATTGTTTAAAAACAAAATGCTAGCCATGATCTTTGATTCGATCTGATATGTTGGAAGAACAGCAATAATCAGAGTCATCCAATCAAAAAGTGACTAAACCCAAATTCAAAAAACACAATGACATGTGCATATCCATCTCTATTTATCCACAAAGGGTTTGCTTTGTTTGCTAGTTGCATTCCTGCACAATGTAGCTTTCAGTCATAAAAAGCTTAATGCATTCCCAGAACCCAGTGGAAAGCAGCTTTTGAAGGTCAAACTGCTTATGGATTCAGGTTTAGCTCTCAAGTGGACCGAGCTAAAAAAAATTCTCCTAAAATGGCCACACACCACCCTGCAAAGGTTGAAACCTTAAACCCTCAATTAGTGCTGAAATATTCAATCGGATTAATTGTGATTAAGCATTTATTATAGTAATCATTAACTAATTAAGTAATAAATTATTTGTTGTGTAGAGACAGTAAAATATGCCTTTAGCTGATAGAGCAACCCACTTAGAGCAGAAACTATATAAAAATTGTAAAAAAAAAATTATAAACATTTTGCATTTAAGATAAAAAAAAAATAAAGTTTGAGTATCACCTGGTTTAATTTAGTAAAAGATAACTTCTTTTAGGAACCTTTGTGTTTTTGTATTTTTATTATTTTTTTTGGTATTTTATATACTCTAATAATCCCAGAGGGAAATCACTTCTCTGCATTTAACCCATCCCCTTG